GTTAAATTTACATCTTATCTGCAAATACTGGCCCCATTTAAAGCTCCCCTCCAGACATATACACAAATAGTCTGCTCAGAACAAGAATGTATGTCTGATATGTTTTTCCACAAAAAAGTAAAATTTTCCTTGAAAATCCTTGAAAACCTCTCCTCCTTCTACCTCATTAAAACTTCCAGAATCTCTGAATATGCAGATGTTGTTGATTTCTAAAGTTTTCCTGCTGGACATATGTCTCCTACTTCACTGTAAAGTCCATTCTCAGTGGATGTGCACTGGTGGCTTCAAGTTTCTACATCACACTGCTGTATACTGGACCAGGACTGACTTCATAACTATTTGTGATATCTCAAATCCGTCTGGTAGGCCCCGCCCCTTAAAATCAGATGTTTAATGAGCTCAGAGAAACTTTCCACTTTCAACGAATGATTAATGCGAAAACATCCTTCTAGAGTAATCTATGATTTGTTGTTAGCCACGCTGAGCAGTAAAATTGTCACTATGACCTTTCATCTACAATATAGTCAATCTCTGTATAACGTGATCTAAGTTCCCCATTTAACAGATGAGACCCATGATGTTTAGTATACTGTTGGTTCTTGATCGGACGGATCTGTCAGAGTGTTACACTGACATCGCCACAAACTCTTTTTCTCTTCACACTTTAGATATAGATTCGGATAAACACACGTAGAACTACTGAGCATAAGGTTTTCACTCCGTCACTCCCTCTTTCTGTCCAGTTATCTCTCTTACAAATATTTACACACTTCCTGTGCTAACCACACTCACTTGCACAATCATTCTGTTTCCTGCTTCAGGCCTATTTCATGTTTATTAGTCTAATACTCTTTATGTTGCAATATTTTCATGCTGTTCTGTTTTCTTCTGATTTATTTATTTTATTTTTATTTTCAATCTTCACTATTCACTAAATTGAAGTCGTGGATTAGAAACTAAGACAAAGCATGCAACTGCTTCAGGGATAAAGGTCTCCAGAGGCCCTACAAGCTCCACTGTTTAAGTGTTTAATTTGGTTTATTTGATTAATTCTAAAAACTGTTAGGATTGCTATAAAATTAAATACAATTTAATTTTATACCAAAGTATAAAGAGTATTGAGAGAAAATATTCACAAATAAGTGAGGGGAAGAGAAAGTTGCAATACAAAATGTAATATAAAAACACAAAGGAATTAATTAAGTATTCCAGCCATGTCTCTGGGTGGCGCAGGTCTGTTTTGTTTTGTCTTTATCTGAAACATGTCCCTAACTTGTTCGACCTGTTTTCCAGCATGGTGGCTGTTTTACATCAGGACTCCGATATATGACGTCCAGTAACTCTCTAGAATATCCACAGAGGGGCAGTGTTTCCTCTTTAAAGCATGTTCTTCATAGCAGATAGCGCTGGGGACAGAAAAAGATGATGCAAATTTTTATTTTATTTATTTTGTTTCCTAGACAGACCTTTTTTATAGCATTTATTTTGACATAAAACAGGAGGGTAAACAGGATCATGTTTCTGTTCTATTTGATGTTGCAGAGCCAGAGCACAATAGCAGCAGCCTGACTCTGTTACTTTGACCTGAATGGAACAAAACCTTAATTAGTGTCATTGGTAACACCTGTGTTTACCCTACTATTTCATGTCAAAATGGCTGCTGTGAAAAAGGTCTGTTATGAGAGTTTGTCTCAAACCTGACACAAATATTAAAGGACACCAAAACTGAAACAAATGATTTGATTAGGTAATTAGATTAACCTACTAGGGGGGCCTGGGGCAAGAAATTGTTGTGGGCCCCCACTGCACCCACATTCTATGCATTGTTTATGTGCCCACCTTCATTATATTTCACCCAGAGCCCAAGAGACCAACCACTGTTTCTGTTCATATCCACTCCCTACTTCATATGTGTTTGAACATACATTTATTTAGGAATATGCAACATTTAAACACGATATAAACTGAACAAAGGGTTTAAAACAGAGGGGCCTTAATATTAGGTAAACATGCAGAAGCTGCTTTTTTTTTTGGCCCCTATTATTTCTCTTTATGTTCCGCTGTCTTGGTGAAAATTACCAAATTTTAAATTAGTCAGCTGAAAAATAATTGCCTCACAGTGTTACTGGGGCCATCGGGTCTACTAAAGGTCAAGTTTACCTCACTGTCCAGTTGGGAGTCCTTGCATAACATTAACTCCAGGTTAAGTTATATTAACCTCCGTCTTGTCCTCTGACATGCAAAATTTGAAGCTTAGCGTACGGTTGAGCAGGAGATCAATATCACAATTCCAACTAATTACACTGAATCAATGGATTGATTCATTACGGGAGTTGTATTTGAGCGTGCTTGTCAGTTACACGACATTTCACAATGTTTCGTTAGCCTTTAATGACAAGCACTTCACCTCAGGGAGCTTTTTAAGTGACATGTAGGAAAACGCTGTGTGGTTTTAAATTGCTGCTTTGGAGATATTTTAATCAGGACCCTTTTTAACCAATAAAAATTACAGCTTTTTCCCATCTTTACTCTTTTATACAACCTTTCTGATAAATTCACATTCTCAAATGTGTCTCTAAAAGTGTGGAATTAGACCGTCATTCTTCCAGGGGGCTGAACTGGAACCTAGCGGACACTTGACATTTTACTTTTCAAACCTTTGACTGAAAAAGATAACACGTCTCCGGGCTACGGTCCCTAAAGCAGCACATCTTCTGGCCTAATTGGGTTGGATGGCTCAGCCAGATATCGAGGTGGCATTTTGCCGGAGAATTCCCTCAGCTCCCCGATGATGAGTCCAGTGTGCCTTCGTTTATCAACGTCTGCCCGCTTTTGCTGAGTAGTTTGTTTTTGCCCTTCGCACAATATATCACCTGTCACATCTAATGGGACCCAGTATGGAGTACACAGGGCCCCAGGGGATCCCTTGGGTTCATCTTTGTTTCCATTTCCACCATTGCCATAGATAACTCCTTCGATAGCTGCTGCAGCCCTCCACCTCTGCCGTACTGGAGAGCTCTCTTTGTTCTGGCATGAAAACAAATACAGGCTTTTTGCAGTTAAAATTTTTAAAGTGCTCGTGGTAGGCTTGAGTTTGGATAACACCAATGGACCGGTGCAATACTGTTCAAACTCAAAAATGGCACTTTATTGTTGACAAATTATTTAAGATTTTTACTACAAGAGTTTTCCTCAAAGTTGCTTAATGGACATATAGTAGTACAACCACAGATCATGCTCTATGCCCAAACAAATAACTTTCTTTTTCTGTCACACAATAACATGAGATGTGGCCCGGTGGCAGGGGAAAGCTGTTGTAGGTCTAATTCTTTGTGTTGGGTTGTTAAAGCATAGACATTTTCCTGCCCTTATATACACTGGGATTATTTAATTACTGTTTTATTGGTATGTTTAACCCTGCTGGGATGTTGGTTTAGTATTATTTTAGGATTATTACTATGATATTATTCATATCATCATAGGGCTGTTTTTGCCCTCCTAAAGGGTTACAATCCATGTCTATATATATATATATATATATAAATAAACATACTGGTAATGGATTACATGGAACTGAGTTACATAATCAGGCTTTTTTTTAGTAGCTAATCCGTTACAGTTACAGGGAAAAAAACATAATCAGATTAGTTACATTTAGCAAAATGGGGATTGTTTAGCAGGATTAAAATTAAATAAAATACATCCGTTTTTCTTTAAAAATACACTGAGCAGAGGACACATTGGATGTTAGTAATTAGTCAATTGAATTGACCAATGAATTCAATTAGGAATTGAATCAGATTGCATTTTCAAAGTAACTCTTCCAACCCTGGTCAGTAGTCTTGTTCCTTAAAGTTCTCATCCACTCTTGGTGTTGACATCTATGAGGTCAGAATGATTAGTAGCTAGGGCAGAAAGTACTGATTATTTTAATTTACGGATTCATTTGCCAATTATATTCTTGATTAGTCAGTGTTTGGTCCACAAAATGTCAGAATACAGTAATAAATGGCCATCACGATTTCCTAAAGCCGAACGTGACATCTTCATTGTCTTTTGTCTGACAGTCCAAAAGCTATTTATTTTACAGTGGAATAAAACTGAGAAATGCAGTAAATCCTCACAATGAAGAAACTGGAACCAGATGTTTTGTTGTTTTGCTTTAAAAATTATATAATCATAGGCTGTATCATGTAATAGTCCAAATTTTCAAAAACTTACTCTTTAAAACAAATCTAATCATTTGTTAAATTATTACTGTGTGCTAGACTATCATATTTTATACCTTCATAATTCTAATAAATGGATTTTGCAAACTGATTTGAAACACTCAACATAAAGTATTTTTGTTGTTATCTTCAAATAATCCAGGTATTTCTGGAAATGTGCAGTATATTCATATTTGAATGAGAGACTCTGGGAGACAGATTTATAAACTACCTCGGACTGAATGGCTTTAACCAAACAGACATCAGTCCAAACATTTCAATGTAATCTACTATATAATCCCACTAAACACTTTAGTAACTGTGGAGAAAGGTACCTAAAATGAATGTCAGTTGTCGTGCTTTTAGTGTGAAATATGTTTTTGCTTTTGTTTTTTGACCCTCAGCCCTTAAAGGCTAGACTAAATAACTGTCAAGTTTGACTAAAGTTTTACTAGACTGATGTATCCCTCTTTCTCTCTCACACAGATCCCGGAAGCTACTGCTGCTGCCAAGGCAGACAAAAGTATCAAGCTATCTCCAGTAAGAGAAATAGCTGTCAACTGTTCCTTTCAAAGTAAAACCCACATTAAACGAGCATATTGTATTGCTAATTATATAATGAGGCAGTATCTATTTTTCTGTTGTTGTTTTCGACATATGTTAAGATAATACAGAATATGCACCTATCTCTCTACCTAGCCATATTTATTACCAAAACTGGCACGTATTGCATTTTATTTTGACGCTAAAGTCACATAATTTCCGGTCTTCTTCGCTGTGTTTGGCTGACTCGACGCAGCTGTAAGTGGGACAAATGAAGTTCATTTTCCACAGCTGGTGATGGCGGATGTTGTTGATAAAGACACCATGAAGAATTACCACATAGCGTCCGAGAAAATAAACCCAGAGACCAGTCGCTATCCTTACTGTATTGTGTGGACCCCCATTCCCGTGTTGTCGTGAGTTATCGCCGTCCACTGTGCCACTCGGCTTTTGGTCGAAACCTCGGGACATGGGGCGAAGTGACGGCTTTATTAGCCTAGCTAGCTAGCAGATGTGTTACAGTAGCGTCCTGTTGCTGGTTGTGTTAGTGCGGCGTTGCTGTTAGCAAGAGTCGGAGTCATGAATTCACAACACATTTCAGAGTGTCATTTAAAATATAAATGTATTTCGGTGCATAAGATATATAATTGGGCAAACATTTTAACGTCAATAACAACAAGTAAACACAACGGGAAACAAAAAACAACACATAAACGTGTTTATATGCTGAGAAGTTGAAGGCTTAAGTTTACCATGCGTGAAACCAGCCTTACAGTGGGAGTGGATTTGGCTTCAAAAGTTCCAAAGTGCTTATGGTATTTCCGCAGTACTATTTGTCAGTGATACACTTTCATACTGTTTTCAGTTTTTCAACATGCTAAGTATCAAAATCATGCTTTTTACTTTTTATGTTCGAGTGATATTGTTACAACAAAACGTGTGTGAATGCGTATATAATATATATATGCACAGTGTGCTGTTAGTTGGGGGGGGGGTAACCATCTGATCAAATGGGGTTTTGTGGACTTCACAATACAATCATATTTCAGGACTTCTGTATAAAGACAACAGAACTTGAAACTAGAAGACTCGAGTCAGTTTGAGTTTCAGAACCAGATGTTGTTATGTGAAAGTGAATTAGTTGTTACTTTTTAACTACAACACGGTTATGTTATACATGTAATTGAGCCATACCTCCACAATAAGTGTATCTCTCCACAAAGAGTGCTGTATATTTAACAGTAACCCTAACCCCTGGGGGGGGGAAAGATAGAAACTATTTCCGTGCTGTGATGTTAACGTGCATGTGTTTTTGTCCAGATGGCTGCTTCCATTCATTGGCCACATGGGAATCTGCACCTCCACTGGTGTCATCCGGGACTTTGCTGGACCTTACTTTGTCTCAGTGAGTAATGACTGTGGTCCTGTGAGCTTTGCATAAGTCAGTTTTGAGAGGATGTTAGAGCCTGTATGTGGAAATTAAGCCACTGTACAGCAGCTCTACACTAACACAATGGATGTCAAGTTAGACTGAGAATGAGCTTAAAGTGCAGAATTTAAGTTTTAAGGAGTAGTCCCCTGAAAACATCAAACCCTTTCAGCTTGAAAGTAGAAAAGTTTATAACTTGTTCCTTCAGAGGGTGGCAGTTACAGGCATTACAGGCACTTACAACAGATTCCAGTGGCATCTCTTGTTTTACAGCAAAACAAAGGACACTTATCAAACCACCCCTGCTGAATAATCCACCTCTTTGCTCTCCATCTGTATTTTCAAAATGTTTTAAACTCTTATGTTTTTTTGCCTAAATACACAACTTTTAAGTTTGTAGCTTGTAACCATATGTAGTTGCAGCAGCCATTTCATAAACAGTGGACACAAACTGTACAATATGTCCAGATGAAGGTGCAGTAACTTTCAGGATTGCAGAAAGATTCAGTAAGCAGAAAGAGAGTTTTTTTTTTGTTTTTTTTTTTAAATAAGTGCACATTCAGACCAAAAACAGCCCTGCATTAAATTGCAAGGTGCATTGATTGGTAGGGTTGTTGCTTCAGGTACCAGTGAGATCATGAAATATGATCCAGGAAGTCCAGTTTAGGTAATAGATCCATGAGGTTGAAAGCTTAACAGGCACAATTGCACTGCACAGCAGTCTGTGAGGATGGACTCTACAACTCTGGCGTTAATTGTGTTATCTTTTCTCACAAGAAGTTAACAGTAGAAATACTGCGTTCATGTTGCAGAGTAGTCTACCAGGATGGTGTGCTTGCATGTATTCGATTGCCCAACGCCTTGTCGAATGGGGTCGTGTTGTGGCAAACGTTGAGCCAGGTTAAACTTTTCCAGGCAATCTGGTGTCGTTTTGCCGGTGTCCTCTGTGTGATCCCAATCACATGACTGAGGGGGCTGCCTTTATATGCATGCAAAGTGCTTGAAATTTTGAACTGACAGCAGTGTAGAAAAGCAACGATATTTCATTTGACCTAGACACAATAATTCACTTTCACTCAACTTTCCCACTGTAAGTTGCACTCATTGGGCCTTTGCTGGGAAAGAAATCATAGCCAGTGCGGTTTCCTCTCCAAAAAACACAGCTGTTACACACAACTTTGAAGTCTATTCGATCTGACTGCAACAACATACAACCACAGAGTAAAGCATGGTCCCAAAAAACTTGATGTGTGAGAACCAAATCCGATAGACCCCAAAGTATGACAGACCACATTTAGTTGTGCTTTATAGAACCACCAAACTATTTAACGATTTCTTAAATTTTCCCCTCAGAGCAATTGAGGGTCATTTTTACACACGGTGTTGTGAAGATTCCCAAGTCAAAAATACTACGTGATTATCATAATAATCTTGACACATGACTAAAGCTGCGGGGGAATGGATGCATGGGATGCATAAACGTGTAGCGGGGTATAAGGGGCTCAGCTTCTTCAATACGGAGGAACAGAGAACCCGATCATCCAGATAGCGGTGCTGCAATGTGCAGCTTCATAGTTTTGACTTGGCCGTCTCACACAAACAAAGTTGATGGTGAATACAGACAAACAGGATGTGAGGTACATTTCCTAAATTCCACTATCCAAACCATCTGAACTACATATTCTGTTTTCCAAGGAACCCAAACGCCCTGTCAGTGCACATGTGATTGAGACAGATTGAGAGTGTTTGTTTTTCAGTTAGAAAATCTTTCAAAGGCCTGATTTAGATTTTTACTGCCAAATATTTAGCTGCACAGGTTTGGACCGAATGATGAAGCTGTCTTTGCTCTTAGTGAAAACAGAAGGTACAATGACAATCACTTTGCCTCTTCTGAAATAATAAATAGAAATAAAGATTTTCTATTTTTTTGCAGGAGGACAACATGGCTTTTGGAAGACCAACAAAGTAAGTAAATGAAAATCTATTGGAATGTAGTGATTACACTGTTACACTGATGAACACATCGCTCCAGAGGAATAGTGAGAACCAATCCTGTTCCCTTCCACCTGTCCTACACAACAGCCCAGTTAGTTTTTGTCTTTGACTGTAGGTACTGGATGCTCGACGTCAGCAAAGTCTACGCTAGCGGCTCCAATGCCTGGGACACTGCGGTGCACGATGCCTCGGAGGAGTATAAACACAGGATGGTAAATAAGTGCTCTTGTGGACCTGTCTTTTATTTTACTTTACAAAAGTGAAAACACCAGTCACGATTTGTGCTCTCTGTTTCCTCCACAGCACAACCTCTGCTGTGACAACTGTCACTCACACGTCGCCATGGCTCTGAATCTGATGCGATATGAAAACAGCACCTCGTGGAACATGGTCAACCTCTGCCTCCTTGCTCTGATCCATGGAAAACATGTCAGGTAAGACGGGACAACATATCCATTCTGTGGGAGCACAGCTTGCTGGAGTTACATGGTACAGAAAACAAAAAATGTTCCAGCTACGGCAAAGATGGTTGAGTTGTTGGGATACCGCTGGAATCATATTGTTGATCTCAGTGTGTGAAAATGTAATTATGGTGTAAATCACATCAGCTCCGCTCTCAATAGACTCATTTGGCATTGTCAACCAAAACAGGCGTGACCCTCTGCAGGCCAATCACCATTTGTTAGTTGCAGAATACAGAGAGCCATGGCAACAAACAACAGTTGCTTTGTGTGTTTTTTCTGTTGGAAAATCCACCACACACACATTACATTAACATTAATTTACAAACATAATGGATAACAGCTTTAATTCTGCTTGTTGTTCTCTACACGTCCCAAGGGTGGATTCAAAATGAAAATACACGACTGACTTGCAGCACCAAACATAAAAAGGAATCATTTTGAATAGTTCTGCTTTTTCATGGAAAAACCAAATCTCTGGCCAGTGTGAATGCTGCACAGTCTCAGGGAATCTGCAGTCCAGACAGAAAGTATTAGCACACTTATGTTTTTTATTCTTGTGGCTCTGAAGCCCCTGAAAGCATCACCAGGAAAGTGCCTGTTCACGTCTCTGTGTTGTATCTCCGACATTAAACACCATCAAATGAATGTTAAGACTAAGCACTTCAAACTTGTAGTCATTGTTTGATTTCAGATCTGTTGTGCTGTAGCAGAGCCAGCACAATGAAAGATGTGCTCGTGTGCTCCTACCATCTGCCTGCACTGTTGAGCAATTTAGTCTTATAGCATTAACTGTGTAGTGAGTAATGAGGATAAACACATCGTTCACCTGTGTATTTTCAAGAACATTTTCATTCATTTTACCACATTGTTACATACAGAACGTTGTAGGCAGTTTGACACTTTTCGGCTCTGTTTTTTCTGGAGCTACAAGCAGTATTGTCACAAAAGCAGCCCAGTGGTCTTGTTATTGTGGTTGATGAATACATGCACAGAAATGTCAATTGTGCGTGCAACAAACACTTTCTACTTCTTTTAATTGGCTAATAGGTGAAATCCTGTATTGTCAAGACAAGTCCTGGAAAATGATTTCTTAAAAAGAGTGGCAACCCTGATATGATGAGCTGCTGCAGTTACAGTGGTATTAAGACTAGAGAAGTAGAAAAGACTCATTGCCTTTGGGCAGGTGCAATAATACTAGTATCAGTATAGTGATTCTGGACAACATGCATTTTTTTGGAATGGTTTTAAATATTTTAGCAGTGGCACAGAAAATTGCCAATTAGGATATTCTGTTCATAAATATCAGCATTTTATTTCCTTTAAAAGCACACACTAATGCCTATATACCCAGTAATCTACAGCTGCTCTCTTCAAAGCCACCATAAGAAGTAGGGCTGAAGCTTGTGAATGAGGTTCTCACTGGGATCCCAGGGGCTCAAGCATGATTTCACTGGTATGCCTTGAACTTGTTGTGTCTCAGGACAGGAGAGAGAGAGAGAGAGAGAGAGAGAGACCTGATTCTTGGGCAGTGTTAAGAGTGTATATAGGACATTCCTCCACAAGCCCTTTGAATGCTGGTGTTACAAGGATGGACTACACATCCCACTAGCTCTCTGGTGATTGAAAGTGAAGGAGTTGATTAGACAAGACGATTGAAGTCAGCACTCTCACTTCCCTCTATAGCCACTTGGCTTATTGCCATCGTGCATTAAAATACTGAAGAGCTGTCATGAAATCAGCTGCACAGATCCAATAAAAGAATCTGTTTTTACAGACAGCCCGGGACTACAGAGAAGCAACCCAAAGAGAACAAACCAAGCATGCAGTTTTTCTGAATGAAACTTATAATAAAACCAAAATGTGGCTGACAAATGCTGCTGTAGGATCAGACCAGGAGTCAGTTCAGTGTGCCCTGAGGCTTTGTTTAATGTTAACGTCACCTCTAAGTGTCGCCCCACTTTTATGCGCTGGGAAACACAACTTCTGACCACGTGTCACCGTCCACAGACTGTCAGATCACTGCTGACTCTGATGACTTTGCTTTCCTTTTAGTATCATAACCGTCTATTCATAGCAGCTACTGGTTTCCCTCCACAGCAGGGGAGAACGGGTTTTAACATGAAAAAGTTAACATCAGTACATATTGTCTGTACTGAAATGGTTGTTATGGGAACAGCAAGTGCAGGGTTATTAACATTGTAAGGACTGTGTGTGGGGGGAGGGTCATACAAAAATGACCCTCTGTTTCTTTCTTTTTTTTTGCACATCATCCCCTCCGTGCTCCTCTCCTCACTTTCATCTGTCTCATCCAGCTGTGCAGGCTTCCTGAAGACCTGGCTGCCTTTCCTGATGCTGATGGGCATCATCCTTACAGTGGCCCTGGCCCTCAACCTGCGGTGACCTGGGAGGCAGGTCGAGGACGCAGTGGAACCCCTGCAGGATGCAGGGGGGGGCCTTTTAGACAAAAAGGGGGAGGGGGGGCATCACACGGTGTCGAGCGAAGGGAACTGAGGAGATAAGGACTACTCTCCTCCAAGAGATGATTGCTGAATAGGAATGTCCCAACACATGTACACCAACACATGCTAGGCGGACTGTTGCTGGCAGCGCTCCAGTGGCGAAGCTGGAATGCCGCAGGGATGGAAATTCATTCACATTCAGTCATTTATTTTGAGCGAAGTGACTGAACGCCACCACCACACCTACCAGAACAACACATCACATTTAATGGATTATGATTATTGAAAGCCTAACAGCAGGTTCACGCCACCTGCAAAGTGTACAAGTTGTGTAGCTGTATTAATAGTTGAATAGAGGTATATACATTGTTGAATTCTCTAAGGGGAAACACATCCATGCCTTGCTTTTAGATTTTGATGACCTTACTTTGTAATGGACTGGGAGTGTAATCCCATGTTTCTGTGCTTCCAGAATGCCATTTTTATACTGGGGAGCACAAACATGTTAAATCAATTAGATGCCTTTCTAGGGAATTTATTGCATTTCATGCTTGATCTAATGTAGCTCTTCTACACTACTGCAAATTAAACCTAAATATTTTCTTACTTGTATTTAGTCTGAACGCCGTAGGATATCAACAAGTCTGCATCTTCTAAACAGAAATATTTTCTCAGAGATATGTTTGCATTACATGTATCACCTCATGGTACGACTGTAATAGGTTTACGATGAATGTTTTCATACCTATTTAACTACAGATCATCAGTGCAATGATTGTAGCAACCTCGATGAATGTGGCTGTGGAAAATACCAACTGAATAGCAATGCTCTTTATTGGTTTTCTATACTTGTGCCAAATGTAGGAGAATGGCAGACCAACACAAACTGTGTCCTTAAATATGTTAACTTGTTCTTTAGTGGAACAGCTCATTAAGTTATTGAATGGAAAGCCTGTTGACGTCAGAGTCATGAAAACCGGTCTGATCTTTTTGTTTTCATCACTAATTTTGACTTTATGGGAAGAAGCAAGAGTCAGTGCCTACAAATGACCTCTTTCACAGATCCCTTATGTTTTATATTTTCAGTTTTGTAGTTATTTTTGAAAGAGAAAAAAAAGTTAATTCCATGCAATGGTTGGCACCTCGAAATCCGTTGCCATGGCTGTCGTGAGTAAATTCAAATCCCCTCATTGTTTGCAATCAAACAGGAAAAAAAGTGTTGAGCCCTCTCTTTGTCCGCGGTGCTGCCAGAAGCAGCAGGTAGCCAGGATCCTCAGGTTTTTTCACACTCGCCAACCCCTGCTGAATATCCCCACTTTCCCCCAGCGCCTGACCAGCGTCGCTCCCGCTGGTTCCCACCTCTGCCGATCAGATTCGAAGGTCATCGTGAAATGTCAGCGCTGTTTCACAAAGCTTTGATATATAAACCGGCCAACAACCTGCAATAATCTCAAGGAGATGACGTTTTAAGTGTGAGCTTATGAATTCAAATGAGTTTTTATTTTCTGTATGAAGGGTTTAACACTAGGGCTAACATAGTGCCAGTTTTCTAGACTTTGCTCTTCACATTGAGCTTCTGTTGAAAGAAGATATTCTGTGGCCTCTTGTGTGTATTTCACCCATGTTGCCTGTAAATACCTGAATACACATTACACTGTACACCAGGTGCTCTTTATATACTTTGCAAACTTGATCGCTCAGTCTACAGATATATTCTTTTGAATAATTTAATGTCATTTTTGTTTTCCACTGCATATCATCTCTGCTCGACAGTACGCAGACTTGTGCCTGAATGAGTGTGTGATCTTGTGTTTGTGTGTGTGCTAGTCACACAGCGACTGGAGAAAGCACGCGATTGCATGCCAGCATGTGTGTATTGCATGCATGCAAGAGAGTTTTAGAGAGAAAGTTCACGTTTGACTCATACTGGGGCTTCTTGATTATTAATCAGCTGCATTTCATCGCAGCCAACTGCCTAGTGATTGATTTCTATATTTATTACTCCATATCTTTCTTTTAATCTCTTTCCAGTTTTATGTGATTGCTGGTAACCCTCAGCAAGAATAAATAATACATTAGACTGTAACAGGCCTGCTTAGGTTAATGCTGATTTGATGCAATAGCCTGTACTGTAAGCGTGAGTGGAGTCATTTTCTTAAAGCATTAAAACAAGGAAAGAAATGGAGAATCTTGCCCTTAATTTGAATAGTGGCTGCTATCTGTATAACAACACACTGGGGAATATTTACCCCTTTTACTGTGACGCTTTTTACTTTTTTGAAGCCATGTCACTAGTAACTAGTGTGAAGAGGCTAGAGCCCGACTGATATATTGGTCAGCCGATATCGGCCTATCGCATACATATCGGTATCGACGTATATGGCATCTGATGTGCGCCGATATGAAAACTTTTATCCCTGTTATATAATGCTTGGTGTCGCTACACTTTACAATACTGTGGCAGCACAGAGTATTAGAGACAAAGCAGTTCTTAGCAGTGTCAACTAGTATTGGTTGACAATGTGTATGTTTTATTTAACATCATTCAGGCGCAGAAATTCACAATGCCATATGGGTAAACTTTCCCCCTCTAAAATCAGTATCGTATCAAGACTGTCAGGCTCTAGAAGAGATCACCTTTTATCGTTAATACAACTTTATGCCCCAAACTCTTTCATGTTTATATTCTAAATCATTGGGAAATCATGATTTTTGGGACTTGGGATGCAAGCAAGCAGACTGGTAGCCCCACTGTGATGTTACTTAAAGTAGCATGTGTAAAATAAAAAAATTATAAAAATATGCTCATTATGCCTAAACATTTTACATCTCTGTCTAACCTCAGTGAACGTGGCTGTGGAAAATACTCCATAGAAACAAACAGAACAGCGCAGATCCTTTCGGTTCTCTGTAATTGCGCTAAATGTCGGAAAAATAGGAGACAAACTGTGTCCTTGTTGTCTTCAGTGAAACAGCTCATTCATTACATTTGGAGCTGTTGAAGGTAATGAATGAATGGCCCTTTGAGATCAGTTGATCAAACTCAAAACATTGTCACTAGTACTGCTTCTGACATATAAACATATATAATTGTTTTAGGAAGAGAGACAGAAATAGTACACCGGTCCTTTATCGGAGTGCACGTGCAAGAATGCAGCAGAGATCATTTGAATGGTTTTAGATGCTGCCTGCTGCGGTGCCTTGTTGTATCCAAGAGCCAGGTCCAGGAATGCGGAGACCTGTGGTCCTAGCGATTCAGTCCCTTCACAAAAGACAGTTGGGATGCTATTATTAGTGCCACGATCCATATATACTTATACTAGTCTGCAGTTTCAACACTCTTTCATTTCTATAATTTCTCCAAAAATATCTCTTCTGCAGTGGATCATATAGTCCACATGGAAATTCAAGACTCCTGCAAGTGACTGTGTGAACTGAAAATGAATGTGTTTATGACTTACAGCTATAATACCAATAAAGATGTCTATTATTGTAGAAATTTGTGGGAGTTTTTTTTTAACTTCCATCATTGAATTATGACGACTGTGTTTCATCGAGGCTGTCAGTGGGAGGGATCATGTTGGGATTTCAAGGTTCTGTGAGCCATGAAAGGCAGAGTGTCCTCCTGAAGCTTCTATAAATACACTCAGAAGTGATTCCTGTAATAATCATTATAAGCTGTCAGAATAAACATTAAGGAAGGGGAAGCCGTCACAGCTTTGATACTCCGAAGTCCCACTCAGTGGCCATTATCCTGCAGAGCATCATGGTATTCAAGAAAAAGGGGGATCAAAGGCTTTGCAGTCTGGCCCCTAAAACACCCCTCCCCCATGTTTACCATACCACCTGGGTAGGTGGGAATGACCAGGGACATCAAATTCACCACTGGTAAATGTTAAAGTTATGGCAAAGTCAAATAAACCAAAAATAGATGAATAATAGAAGAGAACTACATTACCATACAGAGTGGGTGTTAAACTCTGATGGGACTGTTAATGTAGGGAACAGATCTCCTGCTGTATTTGGTCTATTACAACCAAAAGTCCAGACTCTCCACATTTGGGCCCAGGTGTGAGGGGCTGCAATATTGGCTGACGCCAGTAAATGTCATAAAGAGAGAGAGAGAGAGAGGGAGAGAGAGAGAGATCTGAACCACTTTCTCCTCTCCAGTCTCTCCTTCCAGCAGTGTGTCCTCTGGGCTGAGAGGAAGATCTCGTGGATCCGGACGGGGCGCAGGCAGGAGAGAAGCCCCTCCCCGCATATCATCACACAACAAGGCGATGGTCCTTTTAACTTCATTGTTGCGGGAGAAGCGACGCCCCGCTTTGCCACGGCTCAGGATCAAACACCCCCTCTGATCAGCGCGACCCCCAGTTTTGTTCTCATGGAAATCAGACCCTGCCTCCCGGCCACACTTCGTGCAGAGATGCAAAGTTGAAGCGCATTCCCAGCCGGGACGGCGGAGGAGGATGATGTCTCGGAGGAGCTGAGCGTTCTGTTTCTACGTTTTACGGTGTGTTTCTTTTTGCGTTCCCGCTCGCCGCTCTCGGACCGCACACTCCCTCTCCAACATGCTGGACTTGGCGCGGCGCATTGTTTTTTGCGCGCTGCTCGGCTCCGTTTACGCGTCGTGCCCGCCGCGCTGCGAGTGCTCGGAGGCGGCTCACACCGTGAAGTGCGTCTCCAGAGACCTGCGGAGTATCCCGACCGGTATCCCTGGATACACCAGGAATCTGTTCATAACTGGGAATCAAATCGGTCGAATTGACCCCGAGTGTTTTAAAGGGCTGGAGAATGTGACCAACCTGTCTCTGAGCAATAACAGGTAAGACTGTCATCATTGTAATGTTCCTACAGACTGAACTACTACTTTCACTCATTGTTCCTTAAATATAGCAGCTAAGCAGATTTTTATGATTTTGGTGATATGACACAAACAGGGGCTTTGCAGGCTTTCAAAGTGTATTGGAATGACAATCACATTCAGTTTTATTTTAGTTTAGATCCAGAATAAAGCAGTCCTGTTATTATGTCAGCAAACCTCCGTTCCTGTTCCTTTCTTGCTCTTGTATGTGATTTAAAAGTGAGAATGATCTCTCATGGATCTCCTCAAATCCAGAATTTCCGAGGTGGAATCCCACACCTTCGCCGGGCTCCGCAGCCTTCGCTCTCTGGATCTGAGCAACAACCAGCTGGCGGTCATTCACCCCGAGGCCTTCACCGTGCAGTCTCTGCGGGAGCTCAACCTGAGCCGAGCCCTCTACAACCACTCTTCGGTGATGGACTTGGCCACCTCTCTCCGCTGGAGCTCCCTGGGGAGCCTGAGGGGACTGGACCTCTCTGACAACAGCCTCATCTACTTACCCTCACGCATCTTCTCCCACCTGACCAGCCTGCAGCGGCTCCAGCTCTCCAACAACTCCTTGGTGGCCATCCACAACTCCACCTTCTCGGGTTTGGAGCGCCTGGAGGAGCTGGACCTGACGCTCAACGCCCTCAAGACGGTGCCCGAGGAGGGTCTACATGAGCTGGACTCCCTGCCCGGCACTACTCTTCTGCTGGGGGAAAACCCGTTCACGTGCAAGTGCGGGATCGAACCTTTCGCTCTGTGGCTCAACAGATCACAGGGACGTATCAGGGATGCTGAGGACCTGGTGTGCGCCTTCCCGGTTAGTATGAGGAACACATCCATGCTTGCCGTGGGCACGCTGACCCTGGGGTGCCACCAGAGGAACGCAGGGGCCGACCTTGCCTTGCAGACCTCTTACGTCTTCTTGGGCATTGTCCTGGGTTTCGTGGGCCTCATCTTCCTATTCGTACTTTATCTCAACCGCAAGGGCATCAAGAAGCGGGTCTATGACCTGCGCGACGCCTGCAGGGAGGTGTGGGAGGGCTACCACTACCGCTTCGAGCTCGACTCTGGCCCCAGGTTATCACAGGTCTCTACGACCGGTGACATGTGAGCAGACAGTCACCCCCGGTGTGTTTTCTAATGACTCTTTTCTAATGCATTTATCAGTAGCAAAATGTAAAAATTGTACAGATGTGTCTGTAAATATATACATACAATAGCGTTATTAATCCTTCTGCCTTGTCGATTAAAGCATGCACTGCCCATCTTTCCTCATTGCACAACCAATACGCTCCTTTAATGCAGAATATGTCAGATAGTTCGTTCTCTGAGTCAAATGGACGTGAATGTTGTGAAGCGAGTTCATTGATCTCCACACAAAAGCAGCAAGTGCCTAAAGTCAGATGGGTATTGTTTCTGAATCAATAGAGTGATCTAAACTGAACTCCACATGGCACGTTTTCATTCATTATTCCGTGTCAGATCTCCATGTTTAGCTGGTGAAAGAGCAACAGAATGCTGCAATAAAAATCCTGACAGAACAAAAACAAACCTCTGGGAGTTTAAAGCACAATCACTCATCTTTGAACCACTTCAAGCCCTCCGTCCTTCAGCCCCGGGGTGCCAGAGAAGAATTAAGCCTCCAGAGCTTTTCCAAAAGCCCTCCTAAAATCACCACTCTGCTCCTCTTCTGCTGTTGGATTGGATGGGAGGGGAGGGGGGTGGGGGACAATTCAGCACAGACCAGCGGAAATCTCCTAGCCCCCACGTTTTTTTTTTTTTTTTTTCATGAAACGTTGCTTTGTTTCAACTCCTTGAGTTTTATTGTCAAAATGATGAGAACCAGTCCCGGGCTGAGTCCGCTGAAAGCAATCCCCCTCCCTCCTTAAAGACAACAGCCGCTCTGGAAGCTCTTTGAAGGAACAGTCTGGCTCTCCATGTTTTTCTGTTTAGGGGATTTTTTCCAATGATAAGATACAGATGATTCTGAAACACCAGCTGCATTGTTTCATTCAGCAGCTCGCTCTGACCAGTTGAGGGGTGAGCAAAGAAAAAAAGAGTGTTCTCATCCTTTTTTTTTTTCTATACTTTTACAATTGGGGGGTTACGCTAAGAAAAGTGTGAAAGTTGTTTTCTTAGAGCAATTCCTTAAATAACACAGACATCCAGAGATGTGTGTGTCAATACATGTATTTCTCAGTGAAATCCCAAGCCTTCCATTTTACATGCATGTTTAAATTGAATTACAACCTGCATGAATCCCAGAGAAAACATGGTAGTCTTCTTTTCTCAAATGTCACATGTGTCGTCCCTGTTTTTCCAAGTGGCTACATTACAAAAGCAATTCTCCGTGGCCTTTTGATGCTGCAAAGTGAGACAAACACAGACAGGGAGAGGGGGTGGCAAGCTGCCATTCTTCAAAGTGTTTATTGCCCAAATTGCTGGCTATCTAGGTATTTGGGAAGGGGTGGGGAAAGGAGACCTGGAGTTAACTGAAACAGCTTACCATTGTTCAAAGCCAAAGTAGCATCTTCAGTCCTATCAAGATGTTCTCCAAACTCCTCTGATAGCAATCCAGAAATGTTTATGACTCTGAGCCATTTTTACCGCATGTGTAATGACAAAATAAAGCTTCAGAAAGTCACGGTGTCTGTGCACTCATTTAACACAAATGTAATCTTGTGTGTTATGAAACAGCAGAAATGATGGTGCTCATAATGTTTGCAGGTATCATTCCTCTGCAGAAGCACATTAACACAGGCATTTACTCGCTGAGGGGAAAACAATTGAGGCTCGTACGCTGACACAAAGGGCGGCTCGGATGGCGAGACGCCTGAAATAAGCTTTGTTTTCCAGTGCAAAAAGATGCCTTGTGATACTCACTCTCTGTCTGTCTTCACAGACGGCTATTATGCTGCCGCGTAATAGGATTCACTCATGATGACAAAGTTGAGCGCTCTGATCCAGCCATTGTTAAAAGTGTCATCATTCTTAATAATTGCCAGCGGGAGAAAATCCTGGGAGAAAATTTCATATGCGATTACACAACGTGTCACAGCCGGGGCACTACGCCGGCCACGGGTTATTGGTGTCAACTGGCGGAGCAGAGAGAAAGATTATTCCCTGCAAGTCATTACTTCCGTTTTCGCTCATTAAAGTGTGGATCAGGAGCCGTGCTTTTTTTGTCCTTTTATGAGTCTGCCTGTTTGAAAAATATATGGTCTGTTTGCTATAGGCTGTGCAAGATTGTCTCAGCAGGAATGCAATGAAAAGAGAGGAACCCTACAAATACATCCAGACGTTCTCCATTACTCTCAGTGCAAAAGAGTGGCTTGTTAAAAAGAGAGAGATTGCTCCAATTACAGAGTTCTTTCAGACTGTATGTGACACATATCTGATTAAAAGATCACATCTTTATTCCAACTTGCTTTGCCATGTCTTGTATTCCCACAAGCCATTTGTCACACCGCTGAGGTTTCGATCGAGGAAGCAGTTTTAAAAACTTTTCACAGCTTTATGTTGCTGTATGTGCAGCATGTGGTTTCTGCTATTGCAGAATCCAGAATGCAAAGAATGAAAGTATTTCTTTTCCGTTTAGAGAGCATTCCTCTGCAGCACAGCAGGCCTTTTATTTTATACGCCTCCTG